CGCAGTCATGAAGACCTGTTACTATTTCCCCTTCACTATAGATTCTAGTTAATTATCCATAGTTTTTAAAATCTTTCGCAGAATGCAGTCGGTGGACATGGTAGTGGAGAACCAGAAGAACCATCTTTTTCCCTTGGCTTGAGTCAAGAAGGACTCTTGAATAAACCTCAATGCGTTAGTGTTGCTGAAAAGGATACAATGCATATATTTAGTAACTTGGTTGATGATATCTGTATGAGTACCACAAATGAAAGGAATGCTAAAGATGCAGGATTGGTCTGTCGAAGGAAAAGCAAGCGGGCAAGAGTTGCACCTGCTGGACTTGTTGCGGACTATACGTTCGGTGCAGATTTACAGAAACGATCTCGTGGTGCTCAAAGGGATGTGAAATTGAATGAGGATGCAGCTTCCATTGAAGCGAAATTTGCCACCCTTAAGAATAAGCTTCATGAATCCTTGTAAGATTTTTGAAATTATTAACCAGTTATACTGTTTAGTTGGCAGAATTTAGTGGTACACTATTAACCACATTGATTTCCGTTGTTTTAAATCAATTGCAGCGTAATCAACTTTATGGGTCTTGCTGTTACCTCGAAGGATATTGCTGATATTGTCGATCGTGTTCGTCCACTCACTGCGAAGGTGATAACCTCTACAGGTGACTCTGTTAAAGGTTTCCTGTTAAAAAGAATTATGAAGTTGATGTTATCTTCTTCCAGGTTGTAGACATACTAGTACGTCTTATTCGCTCCAATATGGAAAAAAAGGGGAGGATAGTTTCTGCGGCTCCTGTTACATTCCTCGAAACCCGATTTCTTACAACATTGGCAAGAGTTTATCCTAAGTTCAAGAGGTGTAAAAATAGGAATGCCTTCTCTTTCTCACAAGGGTTAGCGGCCTATCTATGTAGTTCAGGAAGAAGCTACATGCATGGTTCTTGTTACTATGTCCCTTGCAGTATTGGGAAAAAACATTGGGTGGGCCTGTGCGTGAACTGTAGTGAAAGGAGGATTATAGTGCTCGATTGCAACCCAGCAGTATGTTCTCCCAAGGCGTTGGATAGTGAGCTCTATTTTGTATGTGTCATGGTTCCCTATTTAGTTAAACAAGTGGGAGGCCCGACATGTAATGATGTGCTTACACCCTTCACCGTTGAACGCCCAGCAGGTTTAGAAATAAATTCTTCACTTCCGGATTCGGCTTTAACAGCTATGTTGCTCATGCAGTCCCATGCAATCGGGGGAGTAGAAGCATGTAAGTCCATATCACCAGGAAATATAGCAAGTGAAGCGCAGAGGGTTGTTGTGATGGTTTATGAATACCATGAGAAGTTGCAGGAGGACAACGAGATGTGAAGCCATTTATATTAAATGTATGTTTTTCTCCAGCAGGAATGATACTTGTTTTCATATGTCTGTATTATTAAACGTAGATTATATCCACCACGACGGAGAGTTGTATCGCATATGTCTGTATTATCATGTACTATTATATAGAAAATGGAAACGTTTGTTCCTTACGGTATCAATTCGATGTCGTTGTTTAAGTTGCCCCTTTAAGTTATATAAAATTCACTGTGTTGTTAATTTCTACGTTTATTAAAATTTTTTCCTTTCTTTTGGTCCTTCGAGCTGTCCATCAATGTTACTTGTTTATCCAACCATAAAGATAAGATTGAAATAACGTGACATATAATTGAATCCCTGTCAGCCAAGTTGCCAATATTAGGAGTCACAAGCTACACAGTGTGGACATTTATATGTGGTGGAAGTTGGTTTGATAGTTGTTGGGAATATATCATTGCATTTGCTCTATATATATCCCCCCTTTGCCGTTTATAAAATACATATTTATACTTTCATTACTCTCCACTTCCGTATATAGTTTTGTAGGTGATATGAATTGTGTCTCTGCATTGAAGAAGCTGGAGTACACTTTGCAGTCAGTGTCATGTGTACGCAAGTTTGCTTATCTGATGTGGTAAACAAACTGTGACGATCCGTGACACTGATAGTAATGTGTATTGCTGCTTGTTCAGTGAAGTCAATCCGAGTGTGAAGGTACGCGTGCATACATCTATCCAAAACCATAACTTATTGAAGCTTTACGTTGTTGTTCGTCAGCTGAAGTTTGTAATACTCCTGCGTCTGTTTACCACAAACATGATGACAAGAAGGAAACAGAACTACCATTACAATAGAAGTAGTTCTCCTGGTTAGGTATATCTTCAACTTTAAATGATTTTTCTGAACCCCAAGTAGTGTGTTTGTAGGTTTCTGTATTGTACGATACATGGTACAACAATTTACGTATTTTAATATTGTCATCGTAGGTGTATGTCATATCTGTATATAATTAAGATACACTATCACAGTGTCCAGTGGATACGCAGATATTTTATTACAGTTACTCAGAAGATTCGCCGGATAGCAATTGCACAAGATAAGTTTATTACATAAAGGGAAATTCTAGAATTTGAGACACACTTATATATGCGTGGAAGATGTTTCTTTATTTATCAACACTCAGGAGTTACAATTTCCTGCCCCATCACCTCTGGAAAATATTACACAAACATTAAACTATTATACATCTGCCCAGTAACAGTCCACCATTCATGCATACACCTTTCAAACTCCGAGGAACATCTTCCGTGCTATAGAACATGGTCTTCCTTCATATAGCCATCTTGCAAGTAGCTTTATTGTGACCACTTCCTTTGCATCTGCTACATATATTTCGCTTCCGAGGGCCCTTCATCTACGAAGCAATGAAATGTTATATATGTTTGTGGAACATGCTAATAATTATGTGAAAATATAGCCGTCAATTACCTTAACTTCACCTCGAGATAAAATCCGGCTTTTTCTTGGTCTCCCAGGCGGCCTCCTGCTAGCGGGTGGGTTGACCTCTATTCTTAATGCATCCATTTCTGACGGTAATTTGTCAACTTCAGTAGCTTCTACAACGGGGTTGATGTCGTTAGCATATGCTGCCTTATAAGTGTTAAGACTATAACAGTCACTAACAAGAGAGTTAACACTTATTTTATGACGGTTTGCTGCGGCTATTGCATGCGTACATGGGATTTTAAGGCTCTGAAATTCATAGCAGCTACACGTTTTTCCTGCAATGTCTACATGGAAAGAAATGCCTTCCTTGTCAATAACGTGAAACTGTGATCTGTTAATAACTTTCACGCCATAGACACCACTATTCGCAAAGTTAGCTTCGACAATCTCCAGGACCCGTGGCGTGAGTGTGTTATCTCCATCCCTCTCAATCTCTCTTCGAGTAGAAAACCAGCTCATAAGTTTTGCCCTTATGTATTCAACGAGAGGCATAATTGGGAACTCACGTGCTTCACGGAGGACTGAGTTCCAGGTCTCAGCAACATTACTCGTCATGATGTTGTATCTATCCCCGGGAAAATGGGAACGGGCCCAATGTTCGAATCCTATGTCAATAAGATAATCGGCACATGAAGGGTTAACAATCTTTATTTCATTGAATGTTGTGTAGAATTCAGAACGGCTATATGCTCTTGCTGCCTTTCCCACCAGAAAACCTAGATGCTTGTCTTTGAAGTAACTGCGTATATTTCTCTTCAAATGTAGAATGCATGCGCAGTGTTTCGCATTAGGATAAACCTACATTGACAACCCTTAGCGTTACTTTAGATAAAAAACAGGTTAAATAATGTAGTAAATGTTACATGATCAGTCGAGTTATTTGCGACAATTATTTCATTAGAAAATTTTATGTTAAAAATTGTAATACCTTTGCCAATCCGTAGTATATGGACGGATGCCGGTCAGACACGAAAACGACATCTTCGGTGTTAGGGACGAACTTTTGGAGATTTTTAAAAAACCATTCCCAACTCTTGTCATTTTCCCCATCGACAATACCAACGGCCAAGGGGAAAACCTGATAATTTCCATCTTGTGATGATGCTGTCAACAAACATCCTGCAAATTTACCTCGTAGATGTGTGCCATCTACAATGACCACTTTCCTCATATATTTGAACCCGGCTATTGAAGCACCCAACGCCATAAACATGAATTTAAACCGTTCCCCAATTCCTTCTGCAAACTCTGTATGTAATATTGAAATGGTACCTGGATTTGCAGTGACCAACTGATCGAGATACTGTGGAAGTAAATTGTATGAAGCCCCACTTGTGCCCTTTGCATAGTCTAGAGCAACCTCCCTTGACCTCCAGGCTTTCCAATATGAAATGTGCACATCATGGTCCCCACCCATAACTTGCATGATCTCGCTTGGTCTTGGACCACCACCGTTTCCGCTGAAACGTGATTTCATAATCTCGCCAATTACTGTATGTGTTGCTTGAGTATGGTAACCGGATCGATCGTCTACTGAACAAGTATGATGAAGTTCGACCCGCCTAACTTCATACATTTCAGTGTTTTTTAAAAGTACAGCATACACACGCCACTTGCACGTTGGGCTGAAACACCTCAACACCATTCCAGTTGGAGCTGATCTACTGTTTCGGAATCTGAATTTCTTTCGTATAGCATAGAAAGCCATATGTTGTTTAAATGCTTCACGACTTTTGAATATCATTCCAACATATACCTCGTCTGGATTGTGAGGGCTTTTGCCTACAAGTTTTAAAGTGCAGAGTTATATAAGTTTGTTCTTTTTTAGTGTTGTGAATGTTAGTGACAGACAAGTTATAACATAAGTACTGTGAACATAAATATCGAACATAATATAACTGGTTATAATACAGAGAAAATTTACCAATACATCATATCCGGATATTAAAAACATATTTTACATCGATCTAGTTAAGAAGAAACATTCGTCCGTCCAGCCGTTAAACATTATTTTTAAAACAGTTAACGTTGACACACACCAAAATATGTAGCAAGCATCCATTTTACCATCAGATTGAGAGAAAACCTTGCAAGCATCGCCTATTTCAAACATTAAACATAGGTTTAAGAGATGATGCTAAGTTAGATTCAAGACCCACCATTGCCAACACCCACATCAGAGGTAGAGTCCTCAACATCGATGGGTGAATTGGATCCTTCTTGGCCACCACTACCACTTATTGTTAGACATAAGTTGAGTGGAGGTGAGTTAGAGTTATTGATGTCATTACGAAAGCTCTCGTTATTAGGTACTCCTTCATTGCTTGCAATATCCAGTACCTTCGATGATTCACCTGCAGAAGAGTGTGAAGGATTATTACAAACTTTAATATCCAACGACTAAGATGTTGCGAACACCAAGACCACATAAACGAACGAGAAATTCATATATACCTTTCTCATATTGTGAAAATTTCACATTCTTTCCAGGAGTAACAAACAGAGGAAATTCATTAGAATTTAGGGTGTTGACATGGCTAATCCAATCAGCTTTTCCAGATGAGTCAGTAGAAGAATCTTGCACACCAAGTGAGGTAACTGATTTGTTGCTAGGTTCAGGGGCAACAACTTCATTTGATGGAAGATGATTCAGACAGTTTCCACCGAGGGAAGCACTTCCTTGAGATAACATTACATCCCAAAAACCTGGTCCACCTCCAGGCTCTCCTAAATCTTGTTGAAACGTCGGTATGGTGGGAGAGGGTTGTTGGTTGACAAACTCATTGTCTGGGGCAACAACGCATGTCGATATTGGTAGCTGTGGTAGTCCTGTAATATTTGGACAGAAATGTTAAATAAAGTGAAGTGAATTCCATCGTTGCAGGACCGATGTAACTTGAAATAGCTATAATCTTGACAATTTACGAAAGAAAAATATCATATACAGTCCTACTATTTGCAACCACAGTTACTAATATAACATTATATTCTTCATTTATTTGCAGTGTTTTTCTCTTTATATTATTTTAAATTTTTAATGCAGATATAGAATAAAACGGGTTTAAGAAGAACAAACATTATAAGATATACTGTCTAATTGCATTCACTTAGCGTTACTATATGTACCTTCATTATCTGGGACTCTGTATTCAGCGTAATCCTCCTCCCTTATATATGCATCGATCCACATATCTTCATCAGCTAAAGTCCTCTCGCCAAATTCCAAACCAGCAGAAGGGTTGACGTTTAAGTCAATGGTGTTTCTGGCTTTAGCAATCTCTAGAGAAAGTCGGAGGACAGTAACCTGCTGCTCCTCAGTGAATAAACTAAGTAAAACCCTCATACTGCACTCGAACCCATCATGATGATATATAGCTGAAAAAAGCTTTGAATCAGTGTAACGTAAATATAAACCACAATAGTAAAGACAGTTAGCCTATGTAATCGATACCTTTAATAGCTGCCATGTGTTGTTCTTCAGTTACTCCTTCAGTTAGGAAACTCATATCCCCAACTACGAACGGACTGCGACGGAGAAAACCATAGTTGGCAACACTTTCAGGACCACATAGAACGCACACGACCTGATAACCGTCCCATTCTCTTATACTCATCATGACTTCCACATCGCCGGAAGAGAGTAAGGTTTGTGGTGGTGAAGCTTCTCCACCATTGACAAGCATCCACCGCGGGAGTTTGTACGTCAACATAACTGGAGTTTGTGGTGGGATCCCGTACGCCTCCTTAACAAGTCCAGTGAAATCCTCAATGGTTTCGTTCTCCCTTGACCAGATTTCGAGAGTAGTTTCTCCAGGATCGTGCACGAAACGCCAAACGCCGACGTCATCTTTGGACCAATCTCCTTTCAAGATTCGTACGAGACGACCCATCTGTTCATCCAATAGTAGTTGTAAGTTAATATCGTAAATAAGCTATCAGTAAGTGGCACCAGAAATATTTTTTCTAAACCTAACCTTAGAGTCGGAAAGTATGTTGCGGACACTTCGCACTTGATATTTAGTAAGCTATACTTTTAGTTTAGCCGGTGAGAGAAGAGTTGTGTTGGTGTGGTTGGAAAGATAACCGGAAACGTCAATTTATAATGGGAAGAAGAAAGGAACTTGAAAATACATACACATGTATGTAAAGAAGAAGAATCTAGTTGCTATCTTCGCATTTAATGTGCGCAGCCTATCTACAAATACGTAGGGGAACATAATTAGATATCTGACAAACATATCAGCAAATTTTAATTCTTTAATGTGGTAATTATCTGATAAGTCTAAGTTTAGAGCCACATGCAACATAGAAAATAATTTTGTTCTCAGGGATGTACACGATGACAGTTCCATTGCTAGCCACGTGTCCATTACCAATCCAGAAATATTTCGGGAGAAAACTTGATATTCATATTTATATCCAGATAACCGTAACCAAAGTTGGTTACTAATAGAAGCTATCAATTAGAGCACGTGCAGATATTAAACTTTTGGAAATGTATACGTAAATAGCTATATTTATATGGGACACGTGTAACGCCACTTGCTATTAAATACCCTTTCTTCCCTATAGCTTCGTCACTTCTCTGCATCTTTCTCTTCCTTATTCCGAAAAGGTTTTCTCTCTCTTAATTAACATGGCAGGTAGCCAAAGTTCGAGTTCTGTCTCATCTCACCCAATCGATGGTCCTCCGTGCCACTGCTCCCGACGGACAGTGTTGGTTATGTCGTGGACAGATGCAAACCCTGGACGTCGCTTCTACAAGTGTTATCTCCACGGATTTTTCACTTGGGCCGATGCGGAGGAGCCTCACGGATGGCAAAAACTGAGTCTTCTCGAGGCTAGAGATCAGATTCGTCGACTGAGGGAAGACAAGAAATCCCTTTACAACGAAATCGCAGACCTGCAGAGGCAATTGGTGGTACAAGCAGCCACCGCACCGATTCAACGTCCTACTGAAGAAGAAAACGAGCAACGCGATATCTTGGACTCTGTTTACAGTAACCGTGAGAAAATGTTGCGTCAGTTTTTTTTAATATCCTGGGGAGGTTTCATAGCAACTACTGTCCTTATCATCTACTCGTTGAAGCCGTAGATCTAATGTTTCAAATGTGTAATGTTTAAAATCTATGTTTTCTGTGTACTATTTAAGTTTGTCCGGGTATGTATGAACCTACTGTTTCGAAGAAGTTCTAATCTACGTTGTTACATGTCTTAATTAATGCAATTACCTTAATTTCGTGTGTTATGACATATGTTGGCCTAATAAAATAGTTATACACCTGACTTACATATTTTATGTAGATTTAAAATTGTGGCATATTGTACCAGTTTGTAACAAATGAGAGAAACCATAAATGTCTTACGACTATTACAATTGTTTGCTAAATTACACTTCAAATGACGTAATCTTCGTCCGACAACCCTCTGACAATATCTGTATATAAATCTGTATACAGTACTGCACGTAGGCGCGTAGCACGTCCATGAGGGC